ATAAAGTCCGCTCGCTGCTGAGCTCTCTCATTGTGCAGGGTGACCGGTCTTGTCTCCGCCCCCCTCCTGTAGTTTTCTGCAGGCAGTCTGTAGCGCCGGGGTAGGCAGCCTTGGAGTGCTGGACATCTACCTGAACATAAATAGAACAAAGATCACCAGGGTGCAGGAACTTCATTTTTAGGAGATAACCTAGAAAGAACCTTTTGAAAATTATAGTTTTGAAGAGTTCAGGGGTCAGTAGAATGTAACGCAGAGTTCAGATGTCAGTGGCAAGTAACGCAGAGTTCAGAGGTTAGTAGTATGTAATGCAGCATTCAGAGCTCAGCAGTAAGTAACGCAGAGTTCAGAGGTAACTAATGCAGAGTTCAGAGGTTAGTGGTAAGTAGCGCAGAGTTCAAAGGTCAGTGGTAAGTAATGCAAAGTTCAGAGGTTAGTAATGCAGAGTTCAGAGGTCAGTGGTAAGTAGCGCAGAATTCAAAGGTCAGAGGTAAGTAATGCAGAGTTAAGAGGTCAGTGGTAACGCAGAGTTCAGAGGTCAGTAATGCAGAGTTCAGAGGTCAGGTCAGTTCAGGTAAGTAATGCAGAGTTCAGAGGTCAGTGGTAAGTAATGCAGAGTTCAGAGGTCAGTGGTAAGTAATGCAGAGTTCAGAGGTCAGTGGTAAGTAACGCAGAGTTCAGAGATCAGTGGTAAGTAATGCAGAGTTCAGAGGTAAGTAACGCAGAGTTCAGAGGTCAGTGGTAAGTAATGCAGAGTTCAGAGGTAAGTAACGCAGAGTTCAGAGGTCAGTGGTAAGTAACGCAGAGTTCAGAGGTCAGTGGTAAGTAACGCAGAGTTCAGAGGTCAGTGGTAAGTAACGCAGAGTTCAGAGGTCAGTGGTAACTCAGAGGTCAGTGGTAAGTAACGCAGAGTTCAGAGGTCAGTGGTAAGTAACGCAGAGTTCAGAGGTCAGTGGTAAGTAACGCAGAGTTCAGAGGTCAGTGGTAAGTAATGCAGAGTTCAGAGGTCAGTGGTAAGTAGCGCAGAGTTCAGAAGTGGTAGTAACGCAGAGTTCAGAGGTCAGTGGTAAGTAGCGCAGAGTTCAGAGGTCAGTGGTAAGTAGCGCAGAGTTCAGAGGTCAGTGGTAAGTAGCGCAGAGTTCAGAGGTCAGTGGTAAGTAGCGCAGAGTTCAGAGGTCAGTGTAAGTAGCGCAGAGTTCAGAGGTCAGTGGTAAGTAGCGCAGAGTTCAGAGGTTAGCAGTATGTAATGCAGCATTCAGAGCTCAGCAGTAATTATTATTCTTATTATTATACAGTATTTATAAAGCGCCAATGGTTCAGCAGTAATCCAGAGTTCAGAGTCTATGTACAGCACAGTGCTGATGCAGCTGCTACTTTGACATGGCAATAACTGGGTTTGCAAATGCATTTAATTTTTTTTTCTTTTCCTGCTTAGATTTTACAAGTGAATCAACCCCTCCACAGATCTGCAGCACAAGGTAAGGCGCCATCTGTTAGGTCATATAATGTACTTCCCACAATACTATAAGAACCATGTGGTACTACCACAGCTGGTTCCCGTTTTCTGTGCATTTTGGAAGGTCTATTGGGGTATCATGGTAGCTTAACGGGTAGCTCTTCCTCCTTGCAGCACTGGGGTCCTCTGTTCAAACCCCAATCAGGATGTTATCTGCATGGAGTTTGTATGGGTCTCCTCCAAAAACATGGTGGTAGGATAACTGGCTCCTGTCTAAAATGGTTCTAGTAGGTGGGATGGGAACCTTAGATTGTAAGCTCCTTGGGGCAGCATGATACGGTAACTGCATCAGTTAGGTGGAATGGTGACACCATAGAATGAATTGTCTGGAGATACAAAAAACTGTGATATTGATACAAATTGCATCGATCTTTAAGACCTCGGTCACCCCGGGTGCGACTCGGCATGCGATCTGCAAATTGCAAGGCAAGTGTCACCCTTACAGCGGTCATATCGCCGCGGTTCTGACTTGGTCAGAGCCGCACCGATTTCTAAAGCAGTGACTGCGTGACTTCAGGGGTGACATTTGTGTCGTACATCGAGTCAGAATACCATCCGACCTGGAAATTGTGCGACTTCACTGCTGCAGGATTTCCCAGTCGGATGGGGGGGGGGGGGTAATGGACATTTTGCACAATCTGACTTGTCACCAGCTGTATAGACTGTAATCTGAGTATTGCGAATAACTCTCCTTCTTCCTTCCATCCCACAGAGATCCCTCACGTGTCTCCACCATCCACAGACTGGTGAGTTCCAACCTTCCCCACTCCACCTAAAACTAGAACAGTCCAGTGTGGGACACATTCTGAGGGACTGTTCATCTTATATTCAGTACTTTGAATGCTGAACCCAAAATAAGAGAGTGCATACTCCACGGGGGGGGGGGGGGGGGGTCTGGTCAACCAGGGTGGTCCCAGCAGCAGGAGAGTCTGTGTTACAATGGACATGGCCTTTAAATATATCATCCTGCCAACTCACATCACCTGCCTGACCATCACCACTGTGACCCATCCCCCTCCCTCTACACCGCACACCTGTACACTGTCGCCCCCCCTCACTGTCACCACTGTGCCCCACCCCCCCCCCTCTGCACCGCACCACACACCTGTACACCACTCCTCACTGTCACCACTGAGCCCCGCCCCAATTCTCCTCCCCCTCCCTCTGCACCGCACACCTGTACACTACCCCTCACTGTCACCACTGAGCCCCACTCCCATCCCCCTCCCTCTGCACTGCACACCTGTACACCGCCCCTTGCTATCAAGACTGTGCCCCACCCCCCCCCATCCCCCCCCCTCTGCACCGCACACCTGTACACCGCCCCTCACTGTCACCACTGTGCCCCACCCCCATCCCCCCCCATCCCTCTGCACCCCACACCTGTACACCCCCCTCACTGTCACCACTGTGCCCCACCCCCATCCCCCTCCCTCTGCACCGCACACCTGTACACCCCCCTGTCACCACTGTGCCCCACCCCCATCCCCCCCCTCTGCACCGCACACCTGTACACCGCCCCTCACTGAGCCCCATTCCCCTCCCTCCCCCTCCCTCTGCACCGCACACCTGTACACCGCCCCTCACTGTCACCACTGTGCCCCATCCCACTCCCTCTGCACCGCACACCGCCCGCCCCTCACTGTCAACACTGTGCCCCACCCCTCCCCCACCGCCCCTCCCTTGCACCGCACACCGCCCCTCACTGTCACCACTGTGCCCCACCCCCATCCCCCTCCCTCTGCACTGCACACCTGTACCACCGCCCCTCACTGTCACCACTGTGCCCCAACCCCCTTCCTCTGCACCGCACACACCGCCCCCCCTCACTCACTGTCAACACTGTGCCCCATCCCCCTCCCTCTGCACACGCACACCGCCCCTCACTGTCACCACTGTGCCCCAACCTCTGCACCGCACACCTGTACACCGCCCCTCCCTGTCACCAGTGTGCCCCACCCCCATCCCTCCCTCTGCACCGCACACCTGTACACCCCCCTCACTGTCACCACTGTGCCCCACCCCCATCCCCCTCCCTCTGCACCGCACACCTGTACACCACCCCTCACTGTCACCACTGTACCCCACCCCCCCCTCCCCCTCCCTCTGCACCCCACATCTGTACACACCCCTCACTGTCACCACTGTGCCCCACCCATATTAATACTGGGGGGATCTATTTTGCGTGGAAAGCTATTGTTGCTGGGGGGGGTTCTGTTGCTGCTGGTTGGGGATCTATTGTTGCTAGGGGGTCTTATGTTTCTGGGGGGATCATTTTTTGCTGGGAGAGATCTGCTGTTAAGGGAGGGGTTTACTGACGCCGGGGAGATCTGTTGTTGCTGCTGGGGATTATTGTTGTTTGGGTGAATCTATTGTTGCTGGGGAGATCTATCTTTGCTGGTTGGGGGGGGGGGGGGAGTCTCTTGTTGGCTGAAGGGGATCTATTTTACTGCTTTTCTTGTTATCATTAACAGATTCCATACAAATGACTGGCACTATAAAATGATACTTGGTTCTGTATTCTCTAAAAGGGGCAGTATGGGAGGTGGGTAAGGGGTGGAACCAAGGGATGGTGCTCGGAGGTGGGTATGGGGTGGAACCATGGGACGGTGCTTGGAGGTGGGTAGGGGGTGGAACCATGGGACGGTGCTTGGAGGTGGGTAGGGGGTGGAACCCATGGGACGGTGCTTGGAGGTGGGTATGGGGTGGAACCATGGGATGGTGCTCGGAGTTGGGTATGGAGTGGAACCATGGGACGGTGCTTGGAGGTGGGTATGGGGTGGAACCATGGGGCGGTGCTCTGAGGTGGGTATGGGGTGGAAACATGGGAAGGTGCTCGGAGGTGGGTATGGGGTGGAACCATGGGACGGTGCTCTGAGGTGGGTATGGGGTGGAAACATGGGAAGGTGCTCGGAGGTGGGTATGGGGTGGAACCATAGGACGGTGCTCTGAGGTGGGTATGGGGTGGAACCATAAGACGGTGCTCTGAGGTGGGTATGGAGTGGAACCATGGGACAGTGCTAAGAGGTGGGTATGGGGGTGGAAACATGGGACGGTGCTCAGAGTTAGGTATGGGGTGGTACCATGGGAAGGTGCTCGGAGGTGGGTAGGGGGTGGAAACATGGGACGGTGCTCGGAGGTGGGTATGGGGTGGAACCATAAGGACGGTGCTCTGAGGTGGGTATGGGTGGAACCATGGGACAGTGCTAAGAGGTGGGTATGGGGTGGAAACATGGGACGGTGCTCAGAGTTAGGTATGGGGTGGTACCATGGGAAGGTGCTCGGAGGTGGGTAGGGGGGGAGACAAAGGTGACTCAGAAGGACGAGTTCCTTCACCTATTCTCTGAGAAAAAAAAAAAGCCATGGCCCTGTGTAATATTACACTGCAAAATAAAAATGATTGTGTAACTGAACACGTTACATAGATCCGTCTGGAAATTGTGTTGGAGTTATTTTTTTATTATTTTAGATAAAGAAGAAGGCGACAAGAAGAGCAAACATGAGAGCCAAGGAGGAGAACAGATGCCAAGCAGACACCAGAAAGGTAGGCCTAGAATGGCCAGAGAGGTTGGTTAAAGCAGATACCAAGAGATTGGTTCTGGATTTCCAAATGTCAGCTTCTAGCCCTGTAGCCAGAGCTCTGCTGCCTCCCTGGACATCCCTCAAGCCAAAGTGCCATGTCCTCTGATCAGTAAAGAGCCACAGTCTGTTGGAGGACTTACCCTGGGTATAGCTGGCTGTTAGGTGCTCTCCAGACCTCTGCCAGCTGGGAACACAGATACCGAGTTACAGCAGTGAAAGTGTTTACTACTCACTACCATTGCACTCTCCGGATCTCCACTCCATCTGCATTCACCTTCCTCACCACAGGCTGTGTATTCAGTTCTCACAGAGGAGAGGTATAGGGAGCAGGCCGACAGAAGAAAGCCAACCCAAGCCAAACCAAACCATTCTACGTTCCTGTAATAGTTGAGGGAAGAAGACCCACAGGACAATCCCATTGTTAGGGTGTTCCCTGGCCGGTCACACAGGTTTATCCCAAGGTGCAGAATCTAAGTGGCAGATGGTCTTCACCAGAGTTCTTGATGGTGGAGATGGGAGGGAAATCTTATTGATCCCTATTTACTTAGCTGCAAACTGACATCAGATCACGTCCCTGAGGATCACCTCACCAAAGATGGTGGCTGGAATGAAAATGCTACAGTGTGGAGACTGCTAACAATGCTGCAAATAAGGGAGTAGTCAGGTCCTGGCAGGGATTCTGCAAGTACCATTGGAAGCTCCAGTTAGGATGATGTGACCATCATTGAAAGGTAGGGATTCTGGTAGTTCTGTTATTCTGTGAGTGTGATTGGAAGGTAGGAATTCTGGAAGTCCTGGCAGGGATTCTGCAAGTACCACTGGAAGTTCTGTTAGGGATGCTGTAAGTATCACTGGAAGTTCTGGTATGGATTCTGAAGGCACCATTAGAAGGTAAGGATTCTGTACGTATCATTGGAAGATCTGGTAGGGATGCTGCAAACACCCTTGGAAGGTAGGGATTCTGGAAGTTCTACTAGGGATCCTGCAAGTACCATTGGAAGGTAGGAATTCTGGAAGTATCATTGTAAGCTCTGATAGGGATCCTGCGAATACCATTGAAGAGTAGGGATTCTGGAAGTTCTGGTAGAGATCCTGAAAGAACCACTGGAAGGTAGGGATTCTGGAAGTTCTGGTAGGGATCGTGACAGTTCCATTGGAAGGTAAGGATTCTGGAATTCCTGGCAAGGATTCTGCACTGGAAGTTCTAGTAAGATTTCTGGGAGTACCATTAGAAGTTCTGGTAGGGATGCTGCAAACACCCTTGGAAGGTAGGGACTCTTGAAGTTCTTCAAAGGATCCTATGAGTACCATTGGAAAGCAGGGATTCTGTAAGTTTTGCTAAGGATGCTGCAAGTACCACTGGAAGGTAGGGAAACTGGAAATTTGAAAGTTCTGGTAGTGATCCTGCGAGTACCACTGGAAGGTAGGGATTCTGGAAGTTCTGGTAGGGATTGTGCCAGTACCATTGGAAGGTAGGGATTCTGGAAGTTCTGCTAGGGATGCTGCAAACACCCTTGGAAGGTAGGGGTTCTTGAAGTTCTGGTAGTGATCCTGTGAGTACTATTGGAAAGCAGGGATTCTGGAAGTCCTGCTAGGGATGCTGCAAGTACCATTGGAAGGTAGGGATTAATGAAGTCTTGGCAGGGATTCAGCAAGTATCATTGGAAGTTCTGGTATGGAATCTGCAAGCACTATTAGAAGGTAGGTATTTTGGAAGTTCTGATAGGGATATTGTGAGTACCATTGGAAGGTTGAGATTCTGGAATTATCATTGGAAGTTCTGGTAGGGATCCTGCGAATACCATTGGAAGGTAGGGATTCTGGAAGTTCTGGTAGAGATCCTGCGAGAACCACTGCAAGGTAGGGCGTCTGGAAGTTCCAGTTGGGATCGTGCCAGTACCATTGGAAGGCAGGGATCCTGGAAGTTCCAGTAGGGATGCTGCAAGTGCCATTGGAAGGTAGGGATTCTGGAAGTCCTGGCAGGGATTCTGCAAGCACCACTGGAAGTTCTAGTAAGGATTCTGGGATTACCATTGGAAGTTCTGGTAAGGATGCTGTAAACACCCTTGGAAGGTAGGGATTCTGGAATTCTGGCAGGGATCGTGCCAGTACCATTGGAAGGTAGGGACTCTGGATGTTCTGGTAGGGATGCTGCAAGTACCATTGGAAGGTAGGGATTCTGGAAGTTCTGGCAGGGATTCTGCAAGCACCACTGGAAGTCCTAGTAAGGATTCTGGGAGTACCATTGGAAGGTAGGGACTCTGGAAGTTCTGGCAGGGATCGTGCCAGTACCATTGGAAGGTAGGTATTCTGGAAGTTCTGGTAGGGATTCTGCAAGCACCACTGGAAGTCCTAGTAAGGATTCTGGGAGTACTATTGCAAGGTAGGGACTCTGGATGTTCTGGTAGGGATGCTGCAAGTACCATTGGAAGGTAGGGATTCTGGAAGCTTCACAAAACCCTGGTCATGAGGGGGTTAAGCGACTACTGCCATTTATTTAAGTACAATTTGGAGGATATTTATAACATTCACTGCAGGTGAATCTTCTCCAGTGATTCCTCACAACTGAATATTTGGGGAGTGTCACACTCACCTCCTTATAAATATGTCACAATGGATACAGAACGCCATTGGTCGGTGTCTTTTATATCTGCCCAGAGTTCCTCTCTAAGGTAATGTAAGAATACTTTGTGACTTTGGCATGGCTGCACCGTTTGCTGCAGATTTAATAGTTCACCGACCGGTTTTGCTTGTCGCTTTGGAAGTCAATTCCTGGAATGGAGAGAATAGAATAGATCATTACTTTCTTTTCTTCTAAAGAAAAAATCCAGGATGAAGCTTTCGGAATTGTTCACCAGCCCGGAGCTGGCAGGGAGACCACAAAGTCACAGAACGGAGGAGGGGAAAGAAAGATCCATCGCACGGACCAGCGACTCTGATAATAAAATGCTTACGGTAAAGTCTTCCCAAGATCGCTGCTGGAGTTCATATCCTCATATCTTCCTCATATCCCCCTCTCCCTGCTGCCTCCTGGGACACCCACGTCCCACTTCCCAGGATCCCGGAAAGCAGTTTTACGAGACCTGTAGCACATCTGTCCATGCGTGTGGGTTTCTCGCACATATGTGCCAATTATTAAAGGTCCCAGATACTGGGGTAGGGTACTCATGCGTGGGAGACGCCCCCAGCAGGTCCCAGCCAATGATTCATGGACCTGCTAATCGGCTGTGTCCAATCACAGCCCAGAGCTCTGTGTTGACAAACAACACAGGGCTCTGTACAGAGGGAACAATCTCTCTGTTTCTTCTCCCTTGCTTAAACAGAGAGATCTTTAAAATATAAATATGTAATACTAACAACTCCACCATCACTCCCACCCCACATGCCAAAGTCCTGGGTGTCACCCTGGACTCAAACCTTTCCTTCCAACCTCACGTCCAATTACTATCAAGATCATGCAGGCTCCACCTCCGCAACATCTCCAAGATACGTACGTTCCTTACCCCAGACACTACTAAACAACTCGTACACTCCCTCATCGTCTCACGCCTGGACTACTGCAACTCCCTTTTCACTGGCCTACCCAAACACACGCTATCCTCACTCCAGTCTATCCTGAACTCAGCGGCGAGACTCATCCACCTCACCAACCGCTCCACATCTGCCTCCCCCCTGCCAATCTGCCAATCCCTCCACTGGCTCCCGATTGCCCAACGCATTAAATTCAAACTGCTAACTCTCACCTACAAAGCCGTTCACAATGCCGCCCCAAACTACCTCACTGACCTGATACCCAGATACTACCCTACCTGCCCTTCACTCCTCACAGGACCTCCCACTCTCTTGCTCCCTGGTCTCCTCCTCCCACGTACGATTGTAGGATTTCTCAAGGACTTCCCCCATCCTCTGGAACTCCCTACCCCAATCCATCCGACTGTCACCTACCCTCCTCACCTTCAGGTGCACCCTGAAAACCCACCTCTTCAAGGAAGTCTACCCCACCCACACCTAACTGACTTCCTCCACTCCTCCCACCATTCCATCCCCCACAGCCACTTCCTCCTGTACCACTATCCCCTCCCTCCTAGACTGTAAGCTCGAAAGAGCAGGGCCCGCGAACCCCTCATGTATTGTATTGTTACTGTCTTGTCTCATGTTCTGTCCCCCTTGCTATTGTACAGCGCTGAGCAAACCCTTTGGCGCTATATAAATACTGTATAATAATAATATATAGATTTAATAGCCCCACACTGTACGTGATGACGTCAAGGTTCTGTTCAGACCTGAGCTTTGAGGAGAAGAGGGCAACACTAGAGCCTGCTGGAGCACAAAGTCAGGTAAGTATCCTCCTCCAGACCTAAGGAGCATTTAACCCTTGCAGTGTTTGTAAGGGTCTCCACTGCAAGAGGTTTTTTTCAGTTGTCCAGAGTACCCAGAGTTGGCCTTTAAATAGTACTTTTAATCAGAATCACAAAGAGCCTTATGTGTTGCCCATAGCAACCAATCACATTATGCGACTACTTTCTAATTAGCATTCACAAATGTCTAGTGGTTAATGGTGTTCCTAAACAAGACCCTACATCTCATATCACATCCCATATCTTCTGCTTGTTTAAGGTGGGTGACGTCAGTCCAACCTTCAATGCTACCAGCAATGAGGAAGACGACCTTATTGGTGACTTTTCTAAGGTAAGTCCTAAATGACGGGACTATTCCAGTACACAGAATTTAATTAACTTTTTTTTTTTAACAGAACCTAATAATTTTATAATTATTATCTCATTAAATCCCATTGGTGGTGGAAACCCATTGCCTACTGGAGGGAACTGTATATTAGGAAAGGGTCCATCTGTGGGCACTCTGATACCCATGGTGGTGCAACACAACTGACCATTATGGAGTTTTCATTCCTTTGATGTGTTCTATGGATGAGAGGGCTGATTGTATGTGTGAAAAGGTCAGAATTAACCTGCTGATGTCCTCAGGATCAGCATGTGGGTGAACTAGGGCTGATTTTGATGATAGGTCTATGAGATATAATGCGGTGGTCCATTGTTCCACATTTTGTAAAGTCTGTTACTGTCCAGCTTAGGTGGATTGCACCTTTCTTGGATACTAGGGTTCCTTTAGAGGTGGTTATGGGTTTTTTGAGCACCCAGGAACTGATCTCCTTCCACATGGTGCCTACATAGTTACAGCACCAATATAATTTGCTAGATCCATTGCCATGGGACCAGTAGATCCTTTTCTCTCATCTTTCCTGGTAAGTCACTCCCTGAATACCAGTGATGTTTTTAGCTTTCTATAAGGGGACCCTCCTACCACCAACCACCATTCCAAAGGGGTTCTTCACCCTCTGACCACCAAAGCAACAAGGCACTTCTCCACTGACCACATTTCTTTACTGACTAACAATATACTATAAAAATTGCTAGTCACACTAATTAGCTTTGAGTTGGAGATACAATTTAACCCATGGTTCTCCAAGACCTAAAAATTATTTAAAGGCTTCCTCCTTGGTAAAAAAAAAAAAAAAAAAAAGCCTGAGAAAGGTGCTCTATGGTCTTCTTCTGCTGTGTGCTGCATGGTACAGGGTCTCATATCTATACCACATGAGGTACAAAAGGTGTGTAGCCACCTGTTAACCCTTACATACAAACACTTTCTCTTAAAAAAGGATTCTTAGTTCTCATATATCTCAATAAATGTTCAAGCAGGCCAACTGTGTCCAAGTGATCCCTGTCTGGCCAACAGCATCAAAGTGATCCCTCTCTGACCAATTGTGTCCAAGTGATCCCTCTCTGGCCAACTGTGTCCAAGTGATCCCTCTCTGGCCAACTGTGTCCAAGTGATCCCTCTCTGGCCAACTGTGTCCAAGTGATCCCTCTCTGGCCAACTGTGTCCAAGTGATCCCTCTCTGGCCAACTGTGTCCAAGTGATCCCTCTCTGGCCAACTGTGTCCAAGTGATCCCTCTCTGGCCAACTGTGTGTGTCAAGTGATCCCTCTCTGGCCAACTGTGTCCAAGTGATCCCTCTCTGGCCAACTGTGTCAAGTGATCCCTCTCTGGCCAACTGTGTCCAAGTGATCCCTCTCTGGCCAACTGTGTCCAAGTGATCCCTCTCTGGCCAACTGTGTCCAAGTGATCCCTCTCTGGCCAACTGTGTCCAAGTGATCCCTCTCTGGCCAACTGTGTCCAAGTGATCCCTCTCTGGCCAACTGTGTCCAAGTGATCCCTCTCTGGCCAACTGTGTCCAATTCATCCCTCTCTGGCCAACTGCCTCAAAGTGATCCCTCTCTGGCCAACTACATCAAAGCGAACCTTCTCTCATCAACATCATCAAAGCGATCCCTCTCTGGCCAACTGTGTCTAAGTGATCCCTCTCTGGCCAACTGCGTCAAAGTGATCCCTCTCTGGCCAACTGCGTCAAAGTGATCCCTCTCTGGCCAACTGAGTCAGTGATTCCTCCCTGACCACTGGCTTTGATGCAGTTGGTACCTACTGTACCTTTAGAACTTGGAGCTATTGGAAGGATTATACAGGCTGATAAGTATGTAAATGTGTTTTTAAATGTTTTTATGAAAATCACTATGAACATGGGTTTTTTTTTTTTTTTTTTTTTTGCTCCTTTTTGAGTAAAATACCAAGCACATCAAAAGGTAATCTCTGTAAAGAAATCTTGGAGGTGGATTTCAAACCCCTGAAGGGGTAAAAGTGTGTATTGACCTGCTTATCCAAAAGGTCCAACAAAGGAGTTGAGCAACACCCCCCCCGGGTAGTTTTGAACACATAAGGTGTTACATTAGAGAGCAAGAATGTTGGAGGGATTGTATGCTCCGTATGATGGAATGTTGGAGGGATTGTATGCTCCGTATGATGGAATGTTGGAGGGATTGTACGCTCCGTATGATGGAATGTTGGAGGGATTGTATGCTCCGTATGATGGAATGTTGGAGGGATTGTATGCTCCGTATGATGGAATGTTGGAGGGATTGTATGCTCCGTATGATGGAATGTTGGAGGGATTGTATGCTCCGTATGATGGAATGTTGGAGGGATTGTATCTCCGTATGATGGAATGTTGGAGGGATTGTATGCTCCGTATGATGGAATGTTGGAGGGATTGTATGCTCCGTATGATGGAATGTTGGAGGGATTGTATGCTCCGTATGATGGAATGTTGGAGGGATTGTATGCTCCGTATGATGGAATGTTGGAGGGATTGTATGCTCCGCTCCGTATGATGGAATGTTGGAGGGATTGTATGCTCCGTATGATGGAATGTTGGAGGGATTGTATGCTCCGTATGATGGAATGTTGGAGGGATTGTATGCTCCGTATGATGGAATGTTGGAGGGATTGTATGCTCCGTATGATGGAATGTTGGAGGGATTGTATGCTCCGTATGATGGAATGTTGGAGGGATTGTATGCTCCGTATGGATGGAATGTTGGAGGGATTGTATGCTCCGTATGATGGAATGTTGGAGGGATTGTATGCTCCGTATGATGGAATGTTGGAGGGATTGTATGCTCCGTATGATGGAATGTTGGAGGGATTGTATGCTCCGTATGATGGAATGTTGGAGGGATTGTATGCTCCGTATGATGGAATGTTGGAGGGATTGTATGCTCCGTATGATGGAATGTTGGAGGGATTGTATGCTCCGTATGATGGAATGTTGGAGGGATTGTATGCTCCGTATGATGGAATGTTGGAGGGATTGTATGCTCCGTATGATGGAATGTTGGAGGGATTGTATGCTCCGTATGATGGAATGTTGGAGGGATTGTATGCTCCGTATGATGGAATGTTGGAGGGATTGTATGCTCCGTATGATGGAATGTTTGGAGGGATTGTATGCTCCGTATGATGGAATGTTGGAGGGATTGTATGCTCCGTATGATGGAATGTTGGAGGGATTGTATGCTCCGTATGATGGAATGTTGGAGGGATTGTATGCTCCGTATGATGGAATGTTGGAGGGATTGTATGCTCCGTATGATGGAATGTTGGAGGGATTGTATGCTCCGTATGATGGAATGTTGGAGGGATTGTATGCTCCGTATGATGGAATGTTGGAGGGATTGTATGCTCCGTATGATGGAATGTTGGAGGGATTGTATGCTCCGTATGATGGAATGTTGGAGGGATTGTATGCTCCGTATGATGGAATGTTGGAGGGATTGTATGCTCCGTATGATGGAATGTTGGAGGGATTGTATGCTCCGTATGATGGAATGTTGGAGGGATTGTATGCTCCGTATGATGGAATGTTGGAGGGATTGTATGCTCCGTATGATGGAATGTTGGAGGGATTGTATGCTCCGTATGATGGAATGTTGGAGGGATTGTATGCTCCGTATGATGGAATGTTGGAGGGATTGTATGCTCCGTATGATGGAATGTTGGAGGGATTGTATGCTCCGTATGATGGAATGTTGGAGGGATTGTATGCTCCGTATGATGGAATGTTGGAGGGATTGTATGCTCCGTATGATGGAATGTTGGAGGGATTGTATGCTCCGTATGATGGAATGTTGGAGGGATTGTATGCTCCGTATGATGGAATGTTGGAGGGATTGTATGGATGATGGAATGTTGGAGGGATTGTATGCTCCGTATGATGGAATGTTGGAGGGATTGTATGCTCCGTATGATGGAATGTTGGAGGGATTGTATGCTCCGTATGATGGAATGTTGGAGGGATTGTATGCTCCGTATGATGGAATGTTGGAGGGATTGTATGCTCCGTATGATGGAATGTTGGAGGGATTGTATGCTCCGTATGATGGAATGTTGGAGGGATTGTATGCTCCGTATGATGGAATGTTGGAGGGATTGTATGCTCCGTATGATGGAATGTTGGAGGGATTGTATGCTCCGTATGAAATGTATGCTCCGTATGATGGATGTTGGAGGGATTGTATGCTCCGTATGATGGAATGTTGGAGGGATTGTATGCTCCGTATGATGGAATGTTGGAGGGATTGTATGCTCCGTATGATGGAATGTTGGAATGTTGGAATGCACAGATGGAATGTTGGAGGGATTGTATGCTCCATATGATGGAATGTTGGAGGGATTGTATGCTCCATTGATGGAATGTTGGAGGGATTGTATGCTCTGTGATGGAATGTTGGAAGACAGGATTTAAATGGTCTTTTGTTTGTTCAATGTGGAGTATAATCCTGTGGTATTAGATTTGTACTTTGCATGAAATACACACATCAAGCACAGAGCGCTTTATATATTTTTATGTATTTTTGTACTGAAGAAATATTATGTTCAAGGTTATTGAATTCAACTAGATGGGGAGAATTAATAGTGCTCAGGAGGTTGCATTTGATTTATAATTGTTTCTCTCAATAATTTTGTTATAGAATGTCCTGTTTAACCCCCCTGGCGGTATTCCTGAGTGTAGTTCGGTGTAAACTTTCAGTACCAGAAGCGATAACCCCCCCCTCCGACCCTGAGCTACACTCGGGAATACACTGAAGCGTTGCTCTGGGATCCCTCCAGCACTTACCTTGTCCTGCGCTCCCGCGATGTCCCCCCTGCAGTGTCCCCGGCCATGTCCTCCGGCCGATGCCGGCATCTGTCTTCCGGGTTCCGTTCCGAGAGCGTCGGGACGTACGGGGGACAGAACCGGCGGGAAATTAAAAAATGTAAAATGTGACATTCACTAAATACACTAAAATCTGATACTATTCCATTCCTGTATCAATCCATTTCACATACATTTTGTCCCGAGTGCTTTGTCCGGCGCCCTGCCTGCATTTTTACCGCCCTTTCTGCCTGGAAACTGAGAAACGTCCATGGCGTCCAAAAAGCGTCCCTTTAGGTCAGACGCGGTTTAGACCGGCTAGAGAACAGCGATAGTAAATCAGAACCACTTGCAGAATTGAGTGATAATGATTCGTGGGGGAAATTCCTCATCAGACACTGAAAACGATTCTGCGACTGAGCTCAGCGATGTGCGAACTTGGCGCTCTATTTCACATTTCAGTGTTTTTGGTGATTATATTATTGAATTACATTTATTATTATTATATTATTATTTTTTATGATTATTTATTATATTATAGTTTTTATGATTTCGTGTTTCAAATTTTATCCTCCCCGGGATGTTTACTAGACTCTTGTCCGGACAGATTTCAGTGAGTTATTTCTAAGAATTACAGCCTACAATAAAAAAACGACATATTTGCATTGAAAATAATGTACCGCTTTGAGCACAGAAATACCGACATAATCAGACCGCTAGGGAGGTTAAGGGTGACAACACTGCCTTACATGACCTCCCTCAGGGACAGTGTTGTCACCCTCTTCAGAGCACTCTCGTCCTGAACTCCAATAGTACGACTCAAAGGCGGACTGACAACTCATGGGGCCCCCGGGCAATAGGGGATCATGGGGCCCCTGTGTCCTTGCCCAAACTCAAAAAAGCCTATGAAAAAGGTACCAGGGGCATCTCATGGGGCCCCCTACCGACCCCCGGGCCCTCAGGCAGTGCCCGAGTTTCCAAATGGTCAGTACGAGCTGATACAAACAGCCCCCCATGGGAAATGTAGTCTGGGGGAGGCAGGATGATACAGAACTTCTCAAACTCTAGAACGGAAGTTCAGGCCTACTGATCTGGGACTTTTCCATAGCCCCATCCCCCCCCCCCCCAAAAAAAACAAAAAAACAACACAATCTATTGTGCATTATTTTATCGATCTACAACGGAAAACAAGGGCATAGTTCCACTTTAGATGGCCCTAGATAACAGTTTTGCTTTTCTTGCCTACAGCGGTACTGCTTACCAGTGGAAAGTGGCAAACACCAGGACCTGAGATACATCACATGTGATACAGTAAGTAATTCTTGATGCACTGCATACGCGGGTCGAATTCCAATCGAATTTTCTTTAGAAAATCGGAAATTTTGTACGTTTTGTAATCCGATGGCGCCACCGTTGATTTCGAAAGTCAACCAACCGAGCCTTCAATTTCTGCTCACGTTGCTACAGAAAAGAATTTTCGTGGCCAAGAATTTTCTTTCCGGGTCGCAGCTTTATATTTCTCGCACGTTTCTCCCATCATTGATTCGAAATTCGTTGGCTTTTCAAAAAAATTTCCAACGTGCCCAATCACTCAAATTCAGCCGTTTTTCTGTGACCCACTAATGGTGAGCAACAAACGAAAATTCTTAGAAAAGATTTTCGAAGGAAAGTTCTTTCGGAATTCGACCCGTATGGCCGGCTAGTGCAAGTAATTGATGTTTTTTTATTTATCCAATAAATGATTACCTACCATAATGTCTCCACTCACTGCACTCCTGGTGTTCTCTACAATACCGCCTCTCCCCGTATTGTACAGACGGTCTATCCCCACTTCCTGTTTCCTGAATGACACCAGATCATTAACAGCAGCATAGGTGCCACCAGGGCCGTGGATAAGGGGGTACCACCCAGTCCTCCTGTACGGGGTCCAGGCCAGCAGGGGGGCCCAGGAAGCTGGGTGAATCAGATGTGGGCAGGGAGATGATCGGCAAGGCAGGGGGGCAATTACTGGAACCGATCCCCTGTATGGCTCTCTCTGCAGCAGCTGAAAGCTGGTTTCTTCTCTCATCCTTCCTCCTCCTTCTGGCTGGCTTTCAGCTGCTGCAGAGAGAGCCATACAGGGCGGGGGGGGGGGGGGGGGGCAATTACTGGAACCGATCCCCTGTATGGATCTCTCTGCAGCAGCTGAAAGCCGGCTGGCTGGATTTCAGGCTGCAGAGGAATGGGAGAAGAAACCAGCTTTCAGCTGCTGCAGGGAGATCCATACAGGGGATCGGTTCCAGTAATGGCTGATGCCTGTATGGTTCTCTATGCAGCAGCTGAAAGCCAGCCGGAAGGAGGAAGGAGAGGATTCCTCCTTCCGGAAGGCTTTCAGCTGCTGCAGAGAGAGCCATACAGGGCAGGGGGGCAATTACTGGAACCGATCCCCTGTATGGATCTCTGTGCAGCAGCTGAAAGCTGCCTTCTTCTCCCATCCTCTCCTTCCGGCTGGATTTCAACTGCTGCAGAGAGAGTTACAGGGCAGGGGGGGGGGGGGGGGGGGGGGCAATTACTGGAACCGATCCCCTGTATGGATCTCTCTGCAGCAGCTGAAAGCTGCCTTCTTCTCCCATCCTCTCCTTCTGGCTGGATTTCAACTGCTGCATAGAGAGCCATACAGGGCAGGGGGGGGCAATTACTGGAACCGATCCCCTGTATGGCTCTCTCTGCAGCAGCTGAAAGCTGGCTTCTTCTTCTCCATCCTCGCTTTCCTCCTTCCACTGGCTTTCAGCTGCTGCACAGAGAGCCATACAGGGGATCGGGGCCAGTAATTGCCGATCCCCCCTGTATGGATCTCTCTGCAGCAGCTGAAAGCCGGTTTCTTCTCCCATCCTCTCCTTCCAGCTGGCTTTCAGCTGCTGCATAGAGAGCCATACAGGGGGTCGGTTCCACTAATTGCCCCACCCCCATTACCCTCCCTGTACACAATATGTTTCCCCTGTGTGCCCCCCATCTCCGCAAGGCTGCCGGCTTCCCTCCTCTCCTTCCCATCTGTAGCTGCAGACACACAGTAGGGGATCCTTCAGCATGGAGAAAGTGGGAAGGATCTGGTAAATATGTCACTTTACCAGCCCCTTTCCCTCCTGAATGAATAAAATGAGTGATCAGTAATGACAGGGAAAGGGCCCTGTCAGGTTGGTTGTATGGGGCCCATGGTTTCTAACAGCAGCCCTGGGTGCCACCCAGGGATGTCGTATCAGACTACAATTGTAAGTGTCCTTGCACACCCGCCAGCACAGAGCACAGCCTCGTCCCAACTCTGGCATGCAGGGCCAAGATGGTGGTGGTGGGGGCAGAGTGGCTCCCGGGGAGCGTGCACAAGCAGGGTGCGGGGAGGCCGCTTATAAACAGCCACCCGACCCTGCACTGCCACCGTCCGCCGTTTATATACAACGGCCAGACAGGAGGTGGTTAACCCCCTTGGCGGTATTCCCGAGTGTAGCTCGGGGTAAAATTTGAGTACCAAGAGCGGTAACCCCCCCCCCCCCCCCGAGCTACACTCGGGCTTACCATGCGGCGTTGCTCAGAGAGCCCTGCAGCACCCTTGTCCTTCGCTCCCACGATGTGTCCCCTGCAGCGTCCCCGGCCATCTCCTCCGGCCGATTCCGGCTTCCGTGTTCCGGTCCCTGTGACGTCGGGACATACGGGCGCCGAACCGGCGGCAAATTTGAAAATTTTAAAAAATGTCATTTTTGCTGTCATTGCTGTTTCAATGCATTTCACATACATTGTGTCCCGAGTGCTTTGTCCTGCGCCCTGCCTGCATTTTTACCGCCCTTTCTGCCTGGAAACTGAGAAACGTCCATGGCGTCCAAAAAGCGTCCCTTTAGGTCAGACGCGGTTTTAGACCGGCTAGAGAACAGCGATAGTAAATCAGAACCACTTGCAGAATTGAGTGATAATGATTGGTGGGGGAAATTCCTCATCAGACACTGAAAACGATTCTGCGACTGAGCTCAGCGATGTGCCAACTTGGCGCTCTATTTCACATTTCAGTGTTTTTGGTGATTATATTATTGAATTACATTTATTATTATTATATTATTATTTTTTATGATTATTTATTAAATTATAATTTATGATTTCGTGTTTCAAATTTTATCCTCCCCGGGATGTTTACTAGACTCTTGTTCAGGCAGATTCAGGGAGTTATTCCTAAAAATTACAGGCCTACAATAAAAAAAAAAACGACATATTTCCATGCAAAAAAAATGTACCGCTTTCAGCACAAAAAATCGGAAATAATCAGACCACCAGGGAGGTTAAGGACATCCTTGCTAAACAAAGTAGAAAGTGAACTACTGTCCCCTGTTCCTGCCCATCAGTCCACCATCAGTCCACCATCAGTCCACCATTACTTGTGAGACGTTGGTCTGAAGGGTGCAGTAGGGTTTTGACGTCATGGCGTTGAATAGCGATCGGTGAAATGGGCGCTCTGCGATCTTTAATCCAAATTCCGTGTCACGATTATCTTCCCGCAGCTAGCGCACCTCCTGGAAGGAAGACACAAGGACGCGGTGGAGAAGTACTACGTGGTGGACTGTCGCTACCCCTATGAGTACGCTGGGGGGCATATCAAGGTGTGTTATCTCTACCGCAAATGTGGAAACTATGACAATGATCTCGGGCCGGGAGATTTTATACAGATACATTGTTCCAGCTTGGACCAACGGAACTCTGTATATACAGAACCATAGCTGGATGATGCCCCAGGAAGCTGGAAACACGCCTGGCTTGCTGAATACAGGAGGTTGGCCGCTTGGATTCAAAGGATGCTTTGCATTTACTGTATACATTCATTCCCTGATTGGATGAGGCAGAGAGGCGGGGCAGTGACACGCTCTCCGCCTCATCCAATCAGCAAAAGCATTTTTTCAATGGTACCAGTACCAAGCGCCTGACCTCCTGTGTTCACAAAGCACCAGGCTGGCTGCTTAGCATGGGCCCAAAAGCAAGTGGAGGTCACTGTAGTAGCGGTGTAGTAACAGTGTATATACTTCCAGCTATATACTGGACCAGGCTGGACCAAAGGAACTGTATAATATCCATTTACCACTTCCAGTCCGGACACTTTCCCCCCCCCCTTCCAGTGTGGACACTTCACCCCCTTCCAGTCCGGACACTTTCCCCCCCTTCCAGTCCGGACACTTTCCCCCCCTTCCAGTCCGGACACTTCACCCCCCTTCCAGTCCGGACACTTTCCCCCCTTCCAGTCCGGACACTTTCACCCCCTTCCAGTCCGGACACTTTCCCCCCCTTCCAGTCCGGACACTTTCACCCCCTTCCAGTCCGGACACTTTCCCCCTTCCAGTCCGGACACTTTCCCCCCTTCTTCCAGTCCGGACACTTTCACCCCCTTCCAGTCCGGACACTTTCCCCCCCTTCCAGTCCGGACACTTTCCCCCCCTTCCAGTCCCCCCCCTTTCTAGTCTGGAAACTTTCCCCCCCCTTCCAGTCCGGACACTTTCACCCCCTTCCAGTCCGGACACTTTCCCCCCCTTCCAGTCCGGACACTTTCCCCCCTTCCAGTCCGGACACTTTCACCCCCTTCCAGTCCGGACACTTTCCCCCCCTTCCAGTCCGGACACTTTCCCCCCCTTCTAGTCTGGAAACTTTCCCCCCCCTTCCAGTCCGGACGCTTTCCCCCCCTTTCCAGTCCGGACGCTTTCCCCCCCTTCCGTCCGGACACTTTCCCCCCCTTCCAGTCCGGACGCTTTCACCCTTCTTCCGGTCCGGACACTTTCCCCCCCCTTCCAGTCCGGACACTTTCCCCCCTTCCGGTCCGGACACTTTCCCCCCCTTCCAGACCGGACACTTTCACCCCCTCCAGTCCGGACACTTTCACCCCCTTCCAGTCCGGGACACTTTCACCCCCCCTTCCTGTCCGGACACTTCCCCCCCCCCCCCCCCCCCCCTTCCCTCCAGGCCAATTTTCAGCTTTCAGCTCTATCACACTTTGAATGACAATTGCGCGGTCATGCAACACTGTACCCATATGAATTTTTTTAGCATTTTTTGAGACAGATAAAGTGGTATTTATTCACCACTGGGATTTTTTTTTTTTTGCTATATAAATGAAAAAGTCCAAACATTTTTAAAAAAAAAAAGTGTTTTTTTATAAAATTTTGCAAATAAATAATATTTCATCATAAATCTTGGCTAAAATTTTTTCCGATATCTTTTTAGCAAAAAAAAAAAAAAAACCAAATTAGTTTATAACCAAAAATTATAATTTTTATACATATTTTTAAACATTTTTATTTTATTTTTTTATTATTATTTATGTATTTTTTAACATACTGTCACCCTAGCAGTAGTGTCACCATGGTGACACTGTACTACTTGTGGGGGGTGATGAAGATTTTTTTTTTTTTTTTTTTTTTTTAACACTGATTGCTTTTACACCCATAAAGGCTGTAAAAGCAATCATTTCTCCTTCTCTCTGGCTGCATTCTTGCAGCCATTGAGAAATACTGTGTGAGCTGTGATTGGTCACAGCTTGTCACATGGTACAAGGCTGTTGTGAATGGCCCTGTACCATGTGATCTCCTTGATCATTCACAGATTTCACACGTAGTAAGTAATGATGTCATAAGTGACATCTTGCTTTCTACTCTGCATGTGATCACTGATTGGCCAACCAGTGATCACATGATCGGGACCTCGCACAGAGGTCCCGTACGATGATCGGTGTTCCATTGTGTCTGGAGGACACAGCGGGCACAGGATCGCAGTGCTGCACGCTCCCAGGGAGCTCGCACAGTCCATAATGGCGGGCGCCGTTTATGAACATCAACCCGCCCCTGCACTGCCACCATCCGCCCGTTTATATACAGCTGCCCGGACGGCAAGTGGTTAACGCAAAACCGCTTCAAAAACTCCGTGTGAAAGCAGCCTCAGGGCCGGTTCACACTCCATGCGTTTCAGTTGCTTTTTTTTTGCATCCAAAACGCACAGAAAGTCGGTGATCTGGTTGTCGGTGTCACAGTTCACATCAGCGCTTGCAGTTCCGGTGCGTTCCGGATGCAGAAACAAAAGTAGATCAGGCGGCATGTTTTCTGCACAGAACTGCACTGGAATGCGGTAAAAACGCATCACAAACGCACCAAAAACGCACCGGAGCGCACATGTCCCTATTTAAATTGAAGAAAAAGAGAGGGGAAAAATTAACTGGAATGCATAAAAAAAGATTAAAAAAAAAAAACTCGTCAAAAACGCACCCGAACGCGCATGCAAACGCGCATCTGGACTGCAATTCTGTAGTGTGAACCGGCCCTAAAACGTTTCCGCAAACCAATCAATATACACTTATTGGGATTTTTTTTTTTACCAAAACCGTATCAAAATACATTTTGGCATAAATTTATTAAAAAAAAAAAATGTTTTTAATTTTTTTGGATAGGTTTTATAGCAGAAAGAACAAAATATATATTTTTTTCTAAATTTTTCCATCTTTTTGTTTACATAATAAATAAAAACTTCCAGTGGTGATCAAATGTCAGCAAAAGAAAGCTCTATTTGTGGGGGTGGGGGGGAAAATGATATAAATTCCATGTGGGTACAGTGTTGCATGACCGCGCAGTGCCGCAGAGGAAATAAAATGTCCTGGTATGAGGGGTGACAACCTTTCCGCAGCTAAAGAAGTTAATAAAAAAGGGAAAAAATACAATTTAAGGGGATTCTGTGACGTGTCATGTTACCAATGCGTGTTAATCTGCATACATGGAGGGAGGAATATAAATGATAGATTTCTATTGGGTACAGCGTTGCATGACCGCGCAAGTACACGGTACAGCAGAACCTACAGTTGTGGCCAAAATTATTCAACCCCCAATGCTGTAAAGGGGTTTAGGGACTATAGTGTACATTTGGAATTGTATTCAGAATCAAATCCTACAAGGACGTTGTAACTACCCAAATGCAACTAAAATGACATCAATTGTTTATGTAATACAGTAGTAAATGGTTCTTATGTGGTTTCTTCATTGCCACAATTATTCAACCCCTTAAAGACTACCACTCTGAAGAACAGAGGTTCATACAGGTGCTTTCCATCAGGTATTGAAAACACCTGTGGATGTCACCGAGCAGCAATCAAGCATAATAAGCACCAATTAGGCAGCTTTAAAATGACTGTGATACTCAGCTCCTTCTAGACATTTACTGGTGTGGTTACAAACATGGTGAAGGCAAGAGAATGGTCCAGGAAGACAAGAGAAGAGGTGATTTCTCTTCACAGGAAGGGCAATGGCTATAAGAAGATTGCAAAGATGTTAAACATACCAAGAGACACCTTAGGAAGCATCATTCGCAAATTCAAGGCAAAGGGCACTGTTGAAACGCTACCTGGTCGTGGCAGAAAGAAGATGCTGACTTCGACTGCTGTGCGCTACCTGAAGCGTAGAGTGGAGAGAAGTCCCCGTGTGACTGCTGAGGAACTGAGAAAAGATTTGTCAGATGTGGGTACAGAAGTTTCAGCCCAGACAATAAGACGCACACTGCGTAATGAAGGCCTCCGTGCCAGAACTCCCAGGCGTACCCCCTTGCTGTCTCCAAAGAATAAGAAGAGTCGACTGCAGTATGCCAAAAGCCATGTGGACAAACCACAAAAGTTGTGGGATAGTGTTCTGTGGACTGATGAAACAAAATTAGAACTGTTTGGGCCCATGGATCAACGCTATGTTTGGAGGAGGAAGAACAAGGCCTATGATGAAAAGAACACCTTGCCTACTGTGAAGCATGGTGGAGGGTCAATCATGCTTTGGGGCTGTTTTGCTTCTGCAGGTACAGGGAAGCTTCAGCGTGTGCAAGGTACCATGAATTCTCTTCAGTACCAGGAGATATTGGATGGAAACGTGATGCAGTCCGTCACACACCTGAGGCTTGGGAGACGTTGGACCTTTCAACAGGACAATGATCCCAAGCATACCTCCAAGTCCACTAGAGCATGGTTGCAGAGGAAAGGCTGGAACATTTTGGAGTGGCCATCGCAGTCACCAGACTTAAATCCGATTGAGAACCTCTGGTGGGACTTAAAGAAAGCAGTTGCAGTGCGCAAGCCTAAGAATGTGACTGAACTGGAGGCCTTTGCCCATGAAGAATGGGCGAAGATACCCGTAGATCGCTGCAAGACACTTGTGTCAAGCTATGCTTCACGTTTAAAAGCTGTTATAACTGTAAAAAGGATGCTGTACTAAGTACTAAGATTGAATGTCACTTGGGGGTTGAATAAAAACTGATAATGCTGTGAGCACAGAAAAGACATTTGTGGTTATTTCATTATAACTGTTATGTTATATTTTGTCTGACCTACAAGTGCCTCTTTAATGTAAATGTAAGCAAGATGACTGAATGATCAAAAGCAATGTCAAACTGGCCAAAACACTCAATTTCAGTGGGGGTTGAATAATTTTGGCCACAACTGTAGCTAGGACTAGGATTAGAAAATGAGTGAGCTGGAATTATCCACAACGCAACAATGATTGATGTAGCATTTACTTCCTGGAATCCATCTGCCCTTAGCTCAGGAATGCAGACAGGAAGATGAGCTTAGTTGAAAAAAAAGCTT